TGTTGTTTCAAACCACTGAGGGTTCTGTGTTTAAGGTTTCTCTACAGGTGTGATGTGTATGTAACAGTCAGCTCCGGGACGTCCGTATACAGGTCTCAGTATGCTTCTCTTTCCCTGCTCAACACCAAATTTGTCTTTTATTATCTTCACCTCTTTAAATATCAGTTCATAGTTTTTGGATGAATACCTGTTTGATTGTTATTTCTCGCTAAGTCTTTGTGTTCATCTATTATCATTCATTGCTTTATCATCTTGAATTACTTTTGTATCTTGTACTATTATTATTGTTATTCTGCTGGTATTTATTATTTCTTGTTAAGTCCTGTTATTTTTATCTTAATTTTGGTCAGGGAGCATAAAAAGGATACTCCTGTTTTCCTTTGGCTGTTAACGTGTATGTAATAAAGTTGAAATAAGAAAAAACTAACTGCAGTATCGTAAGTTACTGACGAGAAGTAGTGGATGCTACTTGATGAAACGTCTGACGGTTTTCAAAAATTTATCCAGTTGCTTGAGTAACACTTTCCTTGTGCATCTCATTCATTACCAGCACGTCTGTCTACCCTTCATGGACGAAGTCTTCTTTTCGTTCCTCCAGGCTCGGTCCCCTTGGAACAGCTAATGTACTACCTGTAGGAGTCCTCCCGAGCCGAGCGACATGTTAGCAGCCACTGATATATTTCAACTTATGTACCCACGTGTTTTACACGAATGAGCAAAGGTACAGGTCAGAGACCGCGAGCGATTAGTTGGCGATAAGTCAGAGTTTTGTACAGGGTCGAGCCAGTCTGTTAGCTCGTACACACGTGTGGAAAGTATCCTGGATTTGTTGAAATCCAACTCTCATTTATTCGAAGATTTCTAGGCCGGAAACCTCGCCGCAATAACAAATTATAGTTCCGAGATAGTAGACTCAAAACAATTAATGACTGGATAAACTACAAGGTCAAAAACTGATAACGGCCATCGATGACTATTCACGTGTAACAAAAGTTTGTCATCTCCACTTTCCAAGGAAGATGAAAAAGATAGCAAATGTAAGAAATGTTATTTGAATTGTTATTTGATATTCTCTACGATACTGCCAGAATCTCTGATACTTTGGGAAGCATGAAGACTCCGACGCTATCGGCCAATTGCCAGTGATGGATAAGTATCATTATCTTTTATCAAAATTGCCGTCGAAAAAAAGGGAACGTAGGGAGATACATAAATTTGACCTTGATACGAAGACCTACAAGCGAAATAATAATGATCAGTGCTCAACAGTCGCAAATTCTTCGTCTGGTTATTTCTGTGGTGTTATATTTATAAGCTAAATCACGACAAATGTTTCATCGTAATTATTTGCCTAATAGCAGCTTCCATGGTGTGTGGGGTCAGACATGGCTGGTCCAAAATAATGTAACTGAAGGATTGTTCATTCCTTGACAAAGACTCGAGTTGTACAGGCGAATATTTGGAAAAGTCTACTTACTTGTGATAGAAATTATAGTTCAAACTTGCTTCTCAAATTTTCTGACAAGGAACAAAATACACATTCTTTCTGTATGACGAACTTTCCTGTACATTTCAACAACAGCCAGGGATACTTCCCGTTTTCAAGGCTCTCTGGGCATGTTTTGTTTGTCAAAGTTTCCACATGTTAGACCGCGCCAATTTAATCAGTTGGTTCTCGGATTCGCCCCCTTCACTGTTTTCTGATTTGGAAAAAATTTACATGTTCCGAATCAACACCACAATGCCCAGCAGTTGAAGAAAGTCCTAGTCTTTCTAGTTATTACATTTTTCATCCAACAATGCAGTGCTTTGACTTACATTTCAACATTCATTGTTTGAATTATAAACCAGCCTGGGTATGTTGACATCATGGCTCTACAATTTGGGGCTATCATACGATGCCTAGGCCTGTTTAAATTTTTTTTCGCTCTGCCTCTTCATATTTTTCCTAGAACCAACAAATCAAATTGGTATGGTCTGGGAACGTTTTGTTTATGAAAGTTTCTACATGTTATGTAGTTTTTTTTTCCAAACCTCCAAGGGGCGGGGAGGACCTACCGCACGTACGGAGCCAGACTTGTGGGATGGGGTTCAGTGGCTGGGGAGGGTTGGCTGTCGGGTTAAGCACACATCTCCTTAATGCTCCGTCACCGAGAATTGTCAGAGCGACGGAAACACAGATCTTTACTGTAAACACGAGGCAGAGGATGATTATGCCTCGCACATTTACAGGCTGACTCAGTGTCACCTGGATCTACAATAACCCCAGCCACAACTTCTGTTTACCGATTAACCGCGGTAGAAGACACGACGTCAACAACACCTTCTTAAATGTTAAGGTTTCAAGTCACCAGAAGTCACCAGAAGACGATTATGCCCCACACATTTACAGACGGGCTTGTCTGTCACCTGGATCTACAATACCCTTGGCCACAACTTTTGTTTACCGATTAAACGCGGTAGAAGAAACGACGTCAACGCAACACCTTCTTAATTAAAGTTCAAGTCACCACCGTTTGGGGGAACTCACAGGGCAGGCCTAACATGGGGTTAGGGGAAAGGTTAAGGGTGAATTTGATCAGTCAGGACTGCAGCCGACTTTTTCCTTCCCACCAACGCGACGAGAACTTTCAACGAAAACTTTCAGCCGATACACGTGACCGACTTAGTTGCACACATTTCTGTCAAGACTTCTGGTGAACTCTCGTAGAGGTCAGGCATGTCGTGGGCCACAAGAAATCACCCCCGTGGCCCAAGGCCGCAACCACAGCCCATCATTCAACTCCAACATGTCCTCGAAGGCCGGGAGATAAAAATTTGGCCCGACCGCGGCCCTCCGAAGATTTCGTACCTACTGTTGGGGCTAGTTACCTCCTGGCAACGACATAAACTGAACTTTTATTCTTCTGGGGCTGACACCGGTTCGAAGTTTCAGCTGAACTTTTGGTAGCACCCACAGGGAGCAATCTGTCTTTCCGAACCGCCGACTTTGTCATCGACGTTGTCATTCTTTCAATGGTCTCCTAGTCACGTCTCTCCCCACAGAACACAATGGCGGGGCAATAAAACAATCTCCCACAATGTAAACAAGAAGCGCTGGGACGCGTTCGCTTTACCTGATGCCTCATTCCAGAACTAGAGGGAGACTTTGAATGTATGCACTTCGGTGTCGAGTTGTGCAATGAATATTAACTACAACAGATAGACGTACTGTAAACATTCTTTTTATCGTCGTTTATGACGTTTTACACTGGCTACGTTAATAATGTCATATATTCCCTAGCTGGACGAAGGTGTTTTTTTTTTATATTTCTGACAAAGAAGGAAGAGAAAGGCATTGGTAAGGTCATGCATTATTAACAGGCGCAAACTTGGACCCGAGTCAAAAAGTGTGTGTACAAGTCATTTACCCTTTTAGTCTGCCAGTTAGAGCTGGCAGCATCCCAAGGGGCAAGGGGCACGGGAGGGTAAAGGTCATATACAAAATTAGGCAGACACTAGTTGGTCGATGTTGATTGAAAAGTTCAGCATTGGAGTTTACGTCTAGATATAGGCTTACCATTTGCCTCCATTATTTCACCTACCAACTAGGCAAGCATTTATTTTGACCCTATCCTTCAAAATGCAACTTACCGGTATTGTTTTCAATGGTTTGAAATTATTATTTTTTTCCTATTCAAAGACTTTGATTTGATTTTTTAAATATTTTCAATCTCGCTGTGACCCGTATTTTGATAACATACCATATACACAACAATGCAGGTATATTGGATGGTTGGAAACTACCACTTAATGACACGCAGCCAATATTGAAACATACCCTGAAGGTATCTTATATGAATACACTGATGACTTCCTTAGATGACTATTTTGGTGGAATGGATCATCCGGCTGGCAGGAGCAAGTCATCACTTTGTTTTGTGTCACCCCTAGCAACAGGCCAAGTCTAGTTTGAATGAATGAATGACTTAAGAAGTACATCGCAGCCAAATAAAGTGGCTGAATTACATACTTTTCACATCAAGAAATAAGGCTATATACAAATTGGCATTTGGTACAAATATTAATATTTACATATAATAATAATGTTCTAAATGTGGAGAGGTTACTGTTACTGTTCGTTTAGTAGTTTTATCATGTACGGAATCGGACTGTTCTTGTATCTGTTTGTTTGTGCTATGAATGTGGACAGAAGGTGTTTATTTCTAGTGTCTCTGGAGCTGACATCGCCGCGGGAAGGAGGAAACCAGTTTCTGAATGTGTTTGACTTAATGAGTCCTTTAGCAAAGTTGACTTGCTAAAGGATCTTGCAAGTTATCTTGCTGACATTTTCTTCTAACCAATGCAACGAAGTTTAGTTGAACACTGCAGAGTTAGTTACTGGAATATGTTGGATTATTGGGTTGGATATCAGTACAAGGGAGACGAATTTCAATGACTTGCAGTTTTCTTTCTTCCATGTGCTAATGATGGTAAGCATGTGAAGTACAGAGTTTTAGCAACGGCGTTATATGCAAGTCCTGGTGTTTACACCACCTCAGTCCCTCATATCTGAACTCAGATGACCAAACCTGTAAGCTGTGAAGGCACTATCTAATTCTACTGTAAGCAGGTATTATCTAATTTGGGTAGATGAAAAGATGATCTAGCCCCAGATTTACTATCCTCTATGACCTTAGCCTCCTGCACAGACTTCTAGCATGGCAGCATTTCTTTCTATGAGAGGCTAGAGAAGTAATTTTTCTTTTCACAGGAGGGCCTTGTTCGAGGAGAACTGTATCCACAGTATAACTCCCTCTGCCACCCTTTATAGCCTGTCTAAAAAAATTGTGCCTAAAAACACAACACCACCAACCCAAGAAGTCTGCGAAGGAGGCCAGTAAGACCTATAATTCAGAGACATCAGAGATATCCCTGTATATACTGTACACCTACTACTAGCATATCTTAGTACACTAGCACCTGGGATGTCCAGGCATAAAACTCACCCAAGCTTGCGTGGCAGCAAATCACTTTTTATTTTTTGAAAAGAATCCATGAGTTTTTTTCATTTACAAATATTAATTCATGCATATACAACAAGTATTACTGTGATGTTCCACGGGTGTACCGATGAGAAATCGGAAATGTACTGTTGGAACGTGATCAGAGGAGAGAGAGAGAGACAAGATGGACACAGTGGTTGTTGAGGTAACATTGAATTTAAAGTATCAAGATCTTCATCACCTGATCACAAACTGTACAGTGGAGTTTCAGAAGATTTCTCACACATGAAGCTTGCTCTGTAAACACCTAGGCCGAGTTAAAACTAAGCGATACAGCAAACAAAAAACTAGCTTGCGCCGTCTCTTTCGTACAATATTCCAGGACGATTCACCTTTTTTTTTAAGACAGTGATTATAAAATCTGTTTTTTCATAAATCATTTTTTGATCACATTTCATAAAAAGGAATCATTAGTTACATAGTTTGTCGTTAGTCCTTTTACAAAGGGTTGTCACTGAAATCCTACTATATTGCAATATGGAAGCAGGAAGGCCCTAAAACCAAGCCTACCTGACTAAGCATTAACTACTACAAAACCACCAGCAATTCTACTAGAAACAAGTAATCTACATTATACACAATTCTTGGCTCAGATAAAAAAAAAAACACAAAAATATAGTGGAAAATGAAAGTTACTGGCAAAGTTTGACTTCACCAAAATATCTTCGTTAGAAACCAGAAAAAAAAACAGAGAAAAACAATTCTGCAGCACTAAAACTGCTGTACAATTGCCTAGAGATCAGTGTATTGAACTTTCACTGGTTAAACTACCATTATCTAGATCTATCCTGTGCTTTCCTCGTGTGATAGTTCCATACATCGCTTATCTAGAACAACCAGTGGGAATCAAACTCGCTAAATGAAAATGCAAACAGCCAACTCTGTTATGATCCCCTCAAGGGCTTTGTGCGTCCCGACTCTCTCATCTCGGTAGTAACATCGTATCAAAACTTAAGAACTGACTGGGAATGTATCAATGTATTCTGGTTAACGTTGTTGTCCACATGTAAACAACACAGCTCCTCAAGCAAAGCAATTTGGAGTCGTGTAATTGCACCAGGACGGAGGAAACAAACTGCAGCCCTTTTCTCTTGTGTCTGGGCCAGACACAGACGGCAGTTTAGTCGTGTCTGGCCGACAAAACCGCAGGTCTGTGCATGGCTGCGTTTTGGCGCTGCATTTTGTGTAGGCTGTGCTGTGAATAGTAAAACGCCTGCATTATCGTGCTAATGACTCCCTACGTTTTCTTTGCAAGTTTGTGCTCGGCGCAGATAATGGAGAGCGGGGGACTCAACAAAAACCTCACGGGGATGTAATTAACACACAACATAACAAATTGCCCCAAAAGAGCCCAAGAGGGATTCTCTGCTTTTACATGCTAACAGGCAGCGGTGCACCCTGGTACTACTACTTAGAAAAGCCATGGAACCAGTTAACAGACTGACGGAGACAGGGTTTCGGGTGTTCTAGAAGTCGTCGCTACACAGACCCGGATAGGACTGTACACGGCTCCTCACATCGATTACAGTGTACATCCATCCGGGCATCAATCACATAGGATACACGCCTGGCCTGACACTGGACAGTTACACTGTGTGATGCTACCGTAGGAACTGCAGGAAATGATTGGTCTCCATCGATCTGGCTATCCTGAGAGCTGCTTAGAGCAGCGGTGCAGTATGTTAAATGAGTACCTTCCCATTTTGTTCTAAGTGCACATGATTAATGAATGGAGAAACCATGTACTGTTCTCTCAGCACACAAAGCAGAAAGCTCCAAAGTTCACCTAACACAGGGAGCAGAACTAACTACCCCTACAAATCATACAGTATCAAGCTCTATACAAGTCGAACGAAGCCTGCGGGGAAAAAAAAGCGAGAAACATATGGCTAATTTTAAAATGCTGTACAGAAGCAATATTGCTGCCCTACTTTACATGGCTTGGCCTAAAAATAATCAATATCCAAACAAAAGCAAGGGCAATAAACATCCAGCACCTCTGGCGGACACTGTTGTAGAGAGAGGGATGCGAGGTGGAGATTTGAAGGGGGAGGGGGGCAGGTTGATGTCATGATCAGTGGACTGTACATCTGCACGTCACCTGGGCTACAGTCACGTGGGGTTGTGAGAGTACTGTGACGTCATGGTGTCATGGGTCATGAGAGGGGGACGTCTGGCTGGACTGGAGCATGCCTGGGTGGTGGGGGTGGTGGGTGGTGGGCGCCCGGCCCGGGCCCGGACACCGAGTTGGGGTGGGAGAACATCATCGGGGCGTGGGGGTGGCCGGGCAGGAGCATTGGCTGCGAGTACTGAGGCCGCAGCTGCGAACATCTGAGCACCTGAATACGTGGGGACGCCGGACGGCATGGTTGTTCCCGGTATGGACATGGGGGAGCCCCTCATATCACCAGGCATGCTCTGCAAACCTGGATATCCGGAACACGAACAGAAAAGAAAAAGAAAAAAAAGGAACACGTTAGGTGGCGAAGAACATTCTAGGAAGCTGCACAAAGTAATCATAATAAGAATAGGTAAATACAGACCATACGGCCTTCACCATTACATAGTTTTACATACATTATTAATGATTACACATGGAGAATGACTACATATAATGGGACGGTAAATGGAGCGATACATCTCCTATCATATCAACTTGAGGTGCCTAGCTAGGAGACAAATAGAACCTGGCACTTTTATTTGTTCCCCCCATAAATTTTTTACGGTGTCACTCTTGGATAGGATAGCTGCAGAAGCACGGATTGTGAGCAAAATGCATGAGGAAACAAGTGTCTGAGACTGCGAAACAGGTGAAAAGCCATAGGCAAAGGAAGCTCAAAGCTTTTGAACAGGGACATTCAGTGGTCGAGACAGTCACATTCAAGCGGCGCCAGCCACCATTTTGATCCCTGCAGTTTTACGGGCGGAGATGAGGCTGAATGTAGTGATTATGAATATGGTTTTGAAGATGATAGCGTCAGATAAGATCATATCAGCCTCCAAATGACGGTAGCAACTTTTATTACTGTCAAACCTGTGGGGACAGAGTCTGGCACATGCACTCGCGCTGCTCTCCTACCGCGGCAGAATTAAGATGGGCTGTTTAACGGTTTTTGCAGGATGGTGTGCTCGATTATGTGCATTTTACGATTTATGTTCTGAACGCCGTCAATGAAGAGGCCTCCTGTGGTCAACATGGTGGGGTTTATGTGGGGTCAGAGTTCAACGGTCTCGACACATTAACCATCATTGGCCCGGTGTCCTAGGTCTTTGCTCGCAATGGGCGATTATGACGATCTCAATCCAATTAAACTGGCCGGGAATTTTAGCTGACACGAGGTGAATAATTTCGAGTGATGGACGGGGACGAGGGCCGCGGCACGTGCACGGCCCTTCCCAAAATGGCTCCCCCTCCGCCGCAAATCACGGGCCGAACAAGTGGGAAGCTGGCATCAGACATGTAGTCTACATGCAACAACGGAACCAGAATGAGTCGGGGCTTTTTAATGTCCCTCCCGGGTAACATTTTCGACGGGCCGCGGACAAAGGGGAAAACACGGAATCCAAATTCATAGGAATTGAAACCCGCCATTTACTGGCCGTGCACAAAGAAAGGCCGGCCTGATGGTTCTCTGGCAAATCAATCCCCATAGCATTCTGCACCAGAAAGAGGAGGTATCCTCAAGACACCATTTAGTTTTCCATTCGGCTCAGACATCGGGGCTCCTCAATCTAGCCCTAATGGACGATGACGGGGTAATGGGCTAAAGTATACAAAAATGCAACTTATCTTCCTCTCCGAGCAGGCCATTTGTCCAACGGGCAAATTTCGCCAGAGAGCTAGGAATAAATTAGGGCCAAATGAACACGGGCAAGGATTCATTCATTTTGTCCGGGAAGCACACGGCTTGAGAGAGAGAGGGAGAGTGCACATTGCTGGGAGTGATATTATCTGGCTCTCGCCTTGGAGGTAGGCTACGCCAAAATGGTCCCACAATTGTGTAATGTCTTCAAAGCGAAGCACCTGATAGTGAGTTAACGAGCTCGGCGCTGACAATGTCTACATAAATGGGGGAACCGTGTCGTCCGCGCTCCATGATTCTGCACTACGCTATCTTCCCGGTATGGAGCTATGAGTCATTTAACTAACGGCCGCGCGCAGAAGAGCCGGCAGCAGTCGGCCGGTCCCCTGCTTTTTACTGCCCCGAAAAGAGCTTCTGTGGCACTTTTAAGTGGGTCATTCTCAAAAGCTAACTGAATTAAAGAGTCATTTAGCGATGAGCCCTATCATCCTGGCTTCCACGCCCTGCACTAATTATTTACGAGTCCAGAGCCATCATCAACTGCTCCCGATTGGGCTGGGTATCCCGGCCTGGTCTCAGCTGACCCTTTTGGGGCAAATATCCTGATTTTTGGGCGAGATAATCTCGCCTTGTTATCTGACGTTGCAAGTAACCCTCTCTAAATGAATGTAATTGGGCCCAGTAGTCATCTTTGTGGGAAGAGCGTACGCAATTAGGGGGGGCTCGTTCCCGTGTGGGGGCAGGGATGTGGCGGCAAGGTCAGCGAAGGTGTGCCGTATTTTTCCCAATCTTCGCTCTTTGCACCAATTAGGTCTAATGTCATAAATGCCAATCTAATAAACCAACAGGTAAAATGTCTGGTGATGCGGCCTGCGTGAGCATGAATGCATCTGGCTCCGGCCAAGCAGCCCCTTCGCTTCGGCGGGCCGAGAGTACGAAAAGGCCCGAGATTAGTGGGAGGATTTGCAAAAATAGAGTGGTGAGCTCAGTTAAGATGGACCTCTGCTGTCCTTATCAGGGATAAATTGAACAATCCAACTGAGATTTAAGGACTATTTCATGCAATGGTTAGAAACACAGTCTCCAAAATATGCAGGTTAAGCTCCACTTAAACTGGTATTAGTCAACGTTAAAAACTTCCCCCAAACATGTGGAGCTGAAAAAAAAAAAAAACTGAAATGGTACCCTGCCCAAATGAAAGTGGAAAAAGAGAGGCCCCAAGAAGTATTCTACTTACACTGAGGCCCCCTTAATGCAGTTATAGCTAGCCTAGTTCCACTGATAGACGCCACCTACAAAAGAGAAGCCAGAAACGATGGAGTTAACAACCCCTCAGTGAGAGGACAGCTCAGAGGGTGCAAACAGACAGGACAGGTATATACTCCATGAGGAAACAACATCCATGTCAAAGCATGCTTTGAAAGGTTTTAATATGAATGAGTTAAAAACGTGAAATTCTCCAAAGGGAGTGAATATGAAGTAAACCGTTGTATACAGTAGTTGTTGTTGGTCAAAGGAGAGGAAAGGCCTGCACTTCTCTGCAGGGTGGTGATGCATGATTGGCAAAAAAACGGAAACGCACAACACCACTTTGTGCGGCAAGTGTCGGGTCTTAACAACAGCTCGAACGGTTGTGAAGAGGTGCCGAACACAATACACGACCTAGAACTGAAGGGTTCTCGGAGGTGGTGCTGGGTCGAGGGTTGTGGACAGAAAATGCATGGTTGCTTTTTGTTGCGACTGACTTGTGCAGCAGTAGTAGTGAATGAAAAATCATGCCAAGCTGGAAAGAAGTGCGGACCGTTCGGACCAAAGTGAGGGAAAATTTTTTTTTTTCACATTCGACTAAGAGACAACAGCAACAACAACAACGACATACCTGGTGGCCTGATGTGCATCTGCTGTTGGCCATCCATAACATATGGACTGCTCATGGGCTGCTCCGGGCTGTACACCCCCCTCCCATCGCTGCCGACTGGTTCACTGTAAGAAATGCAGCCTGGTCACCAACCATGTGCCCCACCCGGCAACCAGTAGTAGGACAGGTATCAGTGCAGTCTGTGACATGAGGAGAAGGGCATCGTGGGCGCTCGCAAAAGGGCACGTCCTTGCACCGACAAATTTTTTCAAGCCAGAAAAAACGGGTCTTCAAAAAACGACACTTGGAACGACAAATTTTTTCAAGCCACAAAAAGTCCTTAAAAAATTGACACTTGGAACCATGTAGAATTTTTCATGCAAAAAAAAAGTACAGCAATACTTTGTCTTTTTCCTTTGTCGCCTCAGTTTTGCGAAAAATTGTTTTGAAAATCTCAGAAAATGCTAACACAAAGAATGTTCCGTTATAGCTACCTGAAGAAGCCAGACTGTCCAATAAAATTTTCAAGACGTTTTTTTTCACTTCTGTTCCTGTGACTCATGCATTGTTGTAATATGAAATACCATATTATCAACACTTGATACTGCAGTGTTTAAGATATTTAAGATTTTTCAGCAAACTGTCCCTACTTCTATAATAAATTTTCCATTTAATTTTGATCCAAAATTAGCTTTTATTCAGTAGCAGTTTACAATTAACTTTTGACCTATTTTAGATTGATGAAATATTTCCGAACAAAATAAGGAATTCACAGCGCCAGCTGAATGTATTGCTCTGGAGTTTTAATTTTAGTGCCAGACATTCAGTGCTGTCAGCACTTAGCTCTACCAAGATGAGGGATGATCCAGTTAACAAAGACACTTCCGTGTCCAAAAATGGAAACTTTTGTTCTGATGAATACCAAGTCATAAATGTTGCAGGTTGCACAACACGCTTTGGCCACCAGGGAGGCATTTCCACCTTAAGCTCATCTTGTTATTATGTTCTCTCAAACAATTATGTGACATTTATCAACAAAGACAGCGACTGTCGGACATTAAGTGACACCGTTTAAGCCGTTTTGTACAATAGGCCCTGCACAATGTGTCGGCTAATCCAAAAATTGTTCAACTGAGGCGTGGAAAGTCGTGGCAAAAAACTGATAACGTTAATGAGTCGGTTTCTTTTCACAGACTGCACAAGGCGACGCTCGTGTAAAGCACGGCGAGAGAAAGATTGAGAGAACAGCTCCATATTGCGACGAGCCCACAAAGCCCCGTGGAGTAAGAACAGCACACAGCAAGTCCAGTGTTAGTCTAGTAAGTGCACACAAAAGCAGAAACCTGCCACAAATGCCCAAGTCAAAGCACAGGACGTAGATCATCCTTGTAAAGTTAGTTAGTGCCATGTTTTCTCTTCCATACTCCTTGGTTGTTAAGGGAGACAAGGGGAGGGGGGCAAGGAAAGCAGACAGCAGGATGACAGGTTACAAGATAAAGTAAGTGACTGTATAGAACAGAATATAATACATATATCAAAATAGGAATGTCACCCTCTCTTCCAATGCGATTGATAGAAATGAATTTAAGCGACGGCGCCACGTGCCCGCGCCGCAAGCTAGGAAGGAAAAAAAATTCGGACCACATCGTTGAGCCCGTAAAATTGCTGCTCCTATTAATAATGAATTTGGAGCGAAAGCGGAATTTTTGTGCCAGTGATGAGAAAAGAATCCCCTGTACATAAGTAATGCCACATTGGCGAACGTAGCAGGTCCCCACTCCCACTCTGACATGTCAGAAGATAAGGATGATGGATGTGTGTACTGGCATTTGCCAACCCGCCAGCCCTGGGGACCGCCTCAGTCCCCAAAAACTCCAAGGCCGCCACAGCTGCCAGATGGAGCCCTATTTCTCATTAAACCTCCAATTTCAGACAATTTCGACCTCCAATGTTATTTCAGATTTTCCAATCCACTTTGGAAGAGAGTACAGGTGCTCAGCCTGGGACGAGACAGGGTGACGCAAAATTTATCTGCCGCTATTACGGATCCAAAGTTTGAATTTTGTGCATGTAGCCTGTTGGAGGACCCAGGCAATCTGGGAGTGCGGGTCTCCAGAGAGGTGCCTGGCATAAAGCTTCTGCTGAAAAAGCTTTTAAAAAGGTTCCCTTTGCATTTCTATCCCTCAGCTGAAGGGCGGGATGGAGTAATCTTTCGTTTAATCTGGACAGTTGTGTCAGCGACCCAGGTCGAGCATATGGTTGAGCATATCGGGACTACGTACATGGTGTGACATCCTAGAAAATAAATACATATTTGTGAAAGTTTGGAAGGAAGGAGAGAGAGGGAAGGAGGGAAGAGTTTTTTTAGATGTGGGAGCAGAGGAAACTTGGCAGGTACTGGTATTAGTCACTCTTGTGCGAAGAGAACCATCTTGTTTGCGGCTCAAAACCAGCATTTTTTTAAAGCTCGTGCTTTTTAGAGTCCGAGAACGTAGCGAAGCACGGGTGGTGGTACGACGTACGTATACGAAACAAGGCAGGTGGTTTTGGTGTTTCATGCACGAGGAAAGCCGTCACCCAAACCCCAATGGTAGCAAAAACAGTGACAGAGCGGATGGAGAGAGAGATTTCGTCCCCCCAACGGGTCTATTTACCAGGTGATGGCCCTCCTGGCGAGTGACTGGAGGATGATTTACGCCTGCGCGACTTGAATACAGTTACTACAGGAGACTTGCCTGCACGGTTTGACTGGTCGATCATAGGCTGGACTATCCTGCGCCTCGCGTTGATAAACCTGTGGACGGGGGAGAAGGAAAAAAAACAAGGTAGGGAAGGGGAAGAAACAAAAAACGTTCACTCACATGACAGTGGGTTGGTAAGGTCTCCGTGGAGAAATAAATGAATAAAGCAATGCAGACAGCACAACTCAAAAAACCTAGCGAACTTTGCGAACTATCTATGTGGTACTGGAAAAGTTTCGCGATAAAAAACTTCTTCTAGTACTCTTCTAGACATAAATGGGAGGTAAAAGTTTTAATATTCCAATAATACATACTCCCCAAAGGTACAAAAGGCAAGTCTTTAACAAAACAAGGGACAAACAAAACTGTTATTGCATGTATCATCATGAACTTTAACCTAAAAAAAAATGTACCAACGTCTACTGGCTGTACTTATGTTAGAAGTACAGAGATGTGTATTCCAGGTAAAAGAGCTGTGAAACTAGAATATCGACCTTCAAGATGCTACTAGCAAGGGAACACAGACTGTTACAACTATTACAGTCAAACCACCTATCACAGAACAAGCATTTTCGGATCACAAGACAATGCTGGTGAACATGGAACATTAGGAGTAAAAATCACTACACGTCTGACATGCGCCGGCAATACCTGCGACTGATGCAGAGTGACGCCCCAAATTTCAAACAATGATTAACACCAGAATATGGATACAGAATCCTCCTCCAGAGAGAATCTGGGGTGGTTAATAAAAAATGGAGGGACCCACTAAATGATGGTATCAAGCAGGAGTGGAGGGAAATGATGGATGCTTCCTTAAAAGAGACTTGTCACATCCATTACAGCCTGCAGAGGATGGAGGCTAATTCACCTGTCACAAACCAGCAAGACATACCCGACGTTTCGTACCTGCCACAAAAAAACACAGCGACAGTCCAAAACACCAGGAAAGTACCTCATCTACTAAGACCCGGGCTCCTGGTGGCTCAAGCATTTCCATCTCGGGCGTTAAACTGCCATAAATGAGACGGCAGAAGGACCGAAATCACCCATCCATTCCGCTATGATCCTATGATATAGATTATCTCTACCGCAATCGAAGATCTCACATTGACTTTCAATAGAGAGGCAGAGAATCTCCGTACTAGTAAGGCTGCGGGACTCGCTTCTGCTACGGCACCTTATGTTTGCTGTAGCCCATTCGGTTTTGTATCGCTGGTTTTCCACAAATACTAGACATCCTGTAAAGGGGCTTGAAGAATCACAGACATTACTGGTGGCGGAGCAAGGAACAAAGGGCAGCACATATAAAAGACAAATTGAAGAAATTATAGGATAACCAAGGGCTGAGTGCACTGAACTGTCTTCTGTCTGCGCAGGTAGTTATGTCATAGGAGCACAATGCCACATGCTGATATGGCACGCTTGATCCATCTATGGTTTCACAAATTTAATACCCCACCGTTATCCCACGATATTTCTGCTCTAACTTGCCCTCTTCCGCTGATTCACAATGGGAAAACCAGAAGTGAGATGCATTTTTCCGACAGTCAATAAAAATCTGTCATGTCAGTATTTCAATAAGAGCTTGCTTACGCTTTGTGACATGTTGTCTAATTTACCTGCTTGCACGAATCCTAGGAAAGCAGGGCCATTTCTCTGTTTGCATTTAGCACTTAGTTGAATTGATCTTGGAGGCACATTCCAGTAGTTGTACTGTGGATTCCCAACTCACTGGTAAGTATGAAATTGATTTGACTTCTAGGCAATTCCATATAGAAAAAAAGCTCGGGCAAAAAAACTTTCGGTGCCGAACCACTACTTATTGTAATAGCTCTCCCGGATGGAAGGCTATGACTATGTGATAAGTTTGGACTAACTCTGGAGATGGAAGCCCGAAAAGTTCGGCCATTTTGTTCGGGAAAGAGGCTCGTAGATGGAGGCCAATTTCAGTCCTGTCTCCCTATCGAATGAAAGAAAAGATGGATTATCTAAAGCATTGCGTTGATGGGGAAACGGCAGGGCAATACATCATACATCAATGGGCGAAGGATATTGCAGATATAACTGCACTGATTCATCCTGATTGCATGGAAAGCTTTTTGCCACGTCTGAATATAGAACATGTTAAAAACTCCCTAATACAAAAGCTGTGGAGATAGAAAGTATCCTTCATTACCAGATCGCAATAAAAGGGCACAAACCCTACTTGTTGCACTGGTCATCTATCACGAAGTTGACAGCATAAATTCCACCAAAAAGAGCACCTTTAATATTGCATAAAACATCGGGCCACAATAATGCACTTAAGGCCTCCGCAATTTTCCAATATCGGGGGAGATTTATCTTTCGGAGGGGTAATACCGAACGAAATGAAATAGCTCGAATGCTGCGAGAGATTCTCCCTAACTTTTGCTGCAAACGTTGTGGTGGTCACACCACACAAATTGGACGCCGCAGCGACAAGGCACATTTCTTTTCATCCCCGAAAAATAAATGCGGCCCCCTCTCCGCCGGTCGCCGGCCCTGACTGTGCGAGCTTCATATCTAGAAACAATAGGCGAAGCCCGAGGAGTAACAGAGATTAATAGGGTAATAAACAAGAATGGCGGTGATGATGGAGGAGCTGCCCGGCCTACAGTTTACCACCTTCCCCCGTGTGTCCCTTTTTCTTGCACATGTCTCTGCCACGGCAGGTAATGCCAAGCCTAAGACAGAGGGCTAAATTTGCAAGGAAACCCGGGGATTTATGGGGATGGCTTTGCTATTACCCTTGGCTGCGGCAGCAAGGTGAAAAATGGTTGCATCTCCCCGCGATAAAGGAAGGACCAAGGTCCAAAATTTATGTGACGGCAACTGTCGAAATCTGGGTAGCATGTCGTGTGTCTTTCAAAAAATGTCCATGCGGGTGCTTGGCTTGACAGTAAAACGAACGGCCTGAATTCCAGCTCTAGCTGGAGCACTCTGTTTTAGCTGTGGAGCTGCCAATGCTGGCTGTGGCTGGGCTGCTTGCTGCCTCCCACAAAGGCCTGCTGTTCAGCTGCCGCAGCACCTGAGCTGCCGTACCGACTTTAACCGTTTCTGCAAGGTAAGCGGCTTCCTTTCTTCCCTCCCGTTGGTTGTGTGTAAGATGGCTGCTGCCCCTATGCATAACATGGCCGTCACTGTGGTGTGCTCTTGCCAGCCAGCCTCCCCATTTAGGCCTGACCTTTCCAGGGGAGTACATTAGAGAGGTATCTTCGCTTGTCCTGACAGGACGGAATGGAATGCATTATCTAAACTGGACAGTCAGATAGGAGCTGCATCCGAGACCTGCGGGATGGAGAAGGCCCATCAGAGGGGTCACAGATGGGGTCAGCGGGGCTTGCGTCACGCGGCGGGTAACCTGCTGAATCCTATACCACTTTGTCCTGGTTCTTCCCCCCCTGCACTTCTCTCTCTCTAGTCTAGCTGCCTGCTTGCTGGCTTCCCAGCGGCCTTACTTGAAGAGGGGCCCCCATTGAGGGCTTTTAGGACTTGACCGGATGTGCTTATCTCTCAATTTGTCTCTCTTCCCATTTTCAAAGACCACTCGCTGGACAAACAAACATCAAAGGCCATGCTCTCCTTGCCCACATGCAGGAAATTGACTCTTCTACCATAGAGTGGGACTTCAGCCTATCAAAGGAAATGTTCCCAGGTTTCTATGTATAGATCTCTATCTTACCATTTCAAAGCTGCTCTTGCCTATACCTTGTCACAGATGGACTAGGAGGGTACAAGTACTGCAGTATGTTCCTACTACGGGTCCTTGTACCATTAAAGCACCCACTTACTGGCTTCAAAACCGAGCGGGTACAAGGTTGAGCAGTCAACTTCAGTTGAGTTGTAACTGTGGATTTCCTACCAACAGAAGAGGCTGTGCTTGCCCTTACAATTGCTACCTGTCAGCATCCTCTGTGTTGACAGAGAAGACATGGAGAAGCTGTCAGTGGTGCACATGCAGTTCGAGCACATTTGTGTGAGAGGACTTCAGAGGGCCAACCTGACTCTCGAATAGCGGCTAGGTTATCCTTGGGTAGGTACCCTCTAGAACCCCTGTTTGTGTGTTCTAAATATTGTGGCAGGGGATGATTAATGACCAGACATCCAACACCATAGACACACTGCCAGGCCGGCCAATTACTGCCCAGCCTCCTGTTGTGTTTAAATTTCAGCGTGAAGCCGGGGCAGGACCTAGCGGTGTCTCTGGCAAATCCTAAGTCACTAAAAAGTCTTGGACCAATTTACTCAAATTGCTGTCTTGCAGGTTTTGTGAGCTAGAGGAGTCCCGGTTTTTTCCCCGCCACCATTATCCGCCCCAGCTTGCCAATAAACGTGGCTCCGGGAGAGGCTCTGTGACCTTCTCTCTCGTAGGCGGCGTGCTCCGACCGCGGTGGGCGCATGCATACAGAGTCTTTGTTGGCGGGTTCGACATGACTCAGGCAGAAAGCATCCCAATGTCAGGACACGTGTACCGTGGTGCCTTGCAACCCACACCCTCCCGTCAAGGCTTATACCCAGGTAAACGGTGACACGATTGGAAGGGAAGCGTATACACCCGTCCACCTTTCTCTCGCGATCGCATTACGGTGGCATACCGTTGCAAACACCCACCATTTCCTGCAGAACCAAGGTTTTTGATCCACACTTGGCCCTATTGTTCGCATTAGCGGGATGGGGGAAAGGTCACTGGAAATAACACACTTAGTTGCCCCAGCTACAGCAAACAAAGGGGCCTTGACTGAAGGATGACGCAGGCATCCACTACGAAGAGACTTCGACTTGGGTTTTCGAAACACGAGAGGAGAGGCGCTGAAAAAGGACAGGGGCTGCGGTCAAGCACCTATCACTGCGGAGGCAAAACATGGCCATTGTGCCTGGCCCAAGAGGCAACAAATACTGACATCCATGACATGTCCACCTGACACCTCTACTACCTGGCCAGTTAACCACGCTCCAGCTCCCTGACAGACCAGGAAGCGGGCGTAAATACTTCACATGCTGACAGTGTGGGGCAGATACCATCCACTTT